CCTCATTTTACCAACCTCGGAAGGACAGAAGGCTAAGTCAACCTGGAGCCAGTCATGATCAAACTGCCAAATTGCTGGCAGCCGGCAGTCAGCAGAAGTAGCCTGCAGTACTGCACTCTAACCACTACGCCCCCACGGCTCTTAGGTTCAGGCCTGCAGCCATCTTTTCTTTTGGATCTTTGGCCTGCCACACTTTCTATTATTCTACTCTGCATCTTCTATTGTGGGAAAATGGGACGGGGGATTGTACAGAGTTAGAAGATATGTAGCCATAACAAAATTCTTTGTAGAAAGCCAAGGTCATCCTTTGTCTTTGCACCTCTGCACCTGACCGGAATTAGATGGGTGGACCTGCCAGCATGGCAGTGGAAGATTGGACCATGTAATGGACTTGAGGGTGTGGGGGCAAGATTTTGAACTTTCAACTGGGTGGGGGGAAACCAGGAAGCTTTCAGATTTGGGTTTTCCCAGATGTGCCAACATGTCTCTCTTAATAAGTTGGAACTTTTGAGGAATGCTTTGCCTCTGATTTAATTTTGGATGCTATTTGGAACCCTGACATTATGTTTCACTTAACAAGAAATTTCGGGCTCAATTGTGCTGAGGGCCGCCTGCAAAATGCACCAGTCCATTCGTCACAGACTCACCTCTGCGCATTAACTGTCGTGAGGAAAACCTCTTGAAGGTGTGGAGTCTCCGGTGCCGAGACAAGTTGGATTGCCACTTGAACAACTTGCCACACTCGGGACATTGGTAAGCTCTCTCATCGCTGTGGACTTTCATGTGTTCAGCAAGTCCTGACGGGCTACTTTTAACGACACCGCATTTAAAGCAGGTGTATTCCCCTTTCATTTGGCAGCCAGATTTTCTCGTCCCGGCTCTTCTCACGCGTTTGTTGGGATCATCCGGTTGAAGGTGAATCTTCTGGTGATTCTCAAAATACGCCCGGCCTCGGTATGTTTTCCCACATTCAAGACACTTGAACAGCTCTTTTGCTTCGTGGCGTTTCATATGTCTTAGCAGATCCGAGTAATAGTAAGTTTTGTGTCCACATTCAGGACAGGCGTGCTTTTTCTCTGGTGGGTAATATTTGTTTTTTTTCTTAACAGTTTTTCTCCGACGCCGGGGGCATTTCTTCTTCTGCCCCTCTTCCTGCTGCTTTGCGCCCCGTGGTTTCTCGGGATCAAGCGGGGAAGACTCCGGATTCAAGGAAGTGGTGCCCCAGGATTCCTCTTCTTGCAGGGCATCAAAGTCATCTTCTGTCTCTGAAACGGCCTGCTGGAAAGTCTCTATTTTGATCTCCCCTATGATTCTTCCACCTGGTGCCGAAGGGCGGGAGAAAACGCGAGAAGTCACTTTCCAGGGACTGTACAATGCGAGTTTGTTTCAGCCGAACAGCGAGGTGAAATGACGTCAGGCAAACTTTGGCAATGAATTCATTCGCACGTGTGGGACGGGCGGGGAAGGAAGCGAAGCATACAAGAACACAAGCGAGAGATCAGATGAGGAGACCCGAACTCATTCAGTGGTGGGATTCAAATAATTTAACAACCGTTTCTCTGCCCTAATGATCAGCTGGGTAGGCGTGGCTGGGGTGGGCATGTGACTGGATGGCTGTGGCCAACTCAGCGTCGAGGGACATTTTGCCTCACCTGGCCTTTCGTGACTGTGGGGAACGGTCGTAAATGGTCATATCCCTTTTTTTCAATGCCACTGTAACTTTGAATGGTCACTAAATGAACTGTTGCAAGTCAAGGATTACCTGTACAAAAATACAAAAAGCTTCTTTGCTTGCAAAAAGCTGCCCTAAATTCCAATCATTGGATTAGAAATCATTAGATTAGGAATACACACTGAAACCCAAACCATTCTGTCTTGAATACCTTCCTTTCGATCAGCAATACCTGCAGCTACAAATCAAGCAGGGTGCCAGGGCACCTTGAGGAATTGAAATAATTAAAATGCAACGATAACTATCAGCAGCCAACTCTTGCTCATCAAGTGAAGCCCTTTAGCAGAGAGGTCATTTAAGCTCTCCAGAAAGTGGGTGGGCACGGTTGAGCTACACAATGCCAAATTTTGTCTATCTACGCAGTATATAGGGGACCCAGGTTCAAGTCTCTGCCCTCCCAAGATTGTCAGGATCATAATAAGATTAGTGCATGCCACAGATATCTGTTGTGGCCCAGCAGGAGCCGTTGGAGCTGCAAACAGACTCCGACAGCGAGGGGGCCCTATGAGTCGGCTCTGGAAGATATGGAGGACCCTGGACAGGGTTCAGACTCCGAGCAGGGACCAGAGAGGCTGGTTGGCCACCAGGAAGCGCCTAAGGCATGGAGCAGCGGTGAAAGCCAGTTTGTCCCTGACGTCAGGCCCTGGAGCAGTGGGGAGGAGCTAAGGGAGTTGGTCCCGGACGCCAGGCAAAGACGGGTAGATAAGCGCCGACAGCAACTACGGAGATACAGAAGATAATTGGGGCCAGGTGGTTGTGATTAGGCTCCTCCCAAGAGAGTATATAAGAAGAGACTTTGGGAGGGGGCTGTTTGCAGGACACAACTAATATACTAAAGCTGGAGAAGCTCTTGTGTGTATTTCTTATCTGTGGAAGTCTGGGTTGCTGCCAAAGTCTTGTCGGTGTGCTAATTTACTTTGAATAAATTGTCTAGCAGTAATCTTGTGTCAGCGTGACTCACCGTACGGAGGGGGGTCAGAACAGATATCTAAATAAACTTCAAGCCTGATTCCATGTTACTAACTAAGAGCCAAGGTGGCGCAGTGGTTAAATGCAGCACTGCAGGCTACTGCTAGATCAGCAGGTCAGCGGTTCAAATCTCACCGGCTCAGGGTTGACTCAGCCTTCCATCCTTCCGAGGTGGGTAAAATGAGGACCCGGATTGTTGGGGGCAATATGCTGACTCTCTGTAAACCGCTTAGAGAGGCCTGAAAGGCCTATGAAGCGGTATATAAGTCTACTGCTATTGCTATTGCTATTGCTAAGCCTTATGATCGTGAGAGAAAACTAAAATGAATTGAAGGATCCACACCAGTGGTAGGATTCAATTTTTTTTCAATACCGGTTCTGTGAGCATGGCAGGGGAAGGATACTGTAAAATCTGCATTCTCACCAAACTCCAGGGGAAAGTTACTGCAAAATCTCCATTTCCTCCCGATCAGCTGGGACTCGGGAGGCAGAGAATAGATGGGGGCGGGGCCAATCAGAGGTGGTATTTATTGGTTCTCCAAACTACTCAAAATTTCCGTTACCGGTTCTCCAGAACGGGTCAGAACCTGCTGAATACCACCTCTGATCCACACTTCTACCTCCTATTTTTTAAAATCTTGCTATCAGTGAGCAATCATGTGCCTTGGCCACTCTGAAGCAATGAGACTCGTATCCCAAAGGTGGACAGGAAAGTCCAGTTGCCTCTTGAAAAAAAAAAGTCCCTTTGGGACAACCCAAAGGTTGACTGAAGAATTCCCATAGACAAGAGACTCCTGTGCTCAGGGAACTGACGAAGCACCCTTTCCCAGCCAGGAGAAGCAATCTTTAGCTCCATTTGCACCACTTAAAAATATCAGCACCTCACAAGATATCCTAAGGAAATCATCCAGATTTAAGGAAAGATCACATGCCCCCAGAAAGGCAGTAAAAAAAATCAGTGCCAAGCTTGCATCCTGCCTCTTGGAAGTACACCCCAAAAGGACAGTGCCAGGAACCACTAAAGCAGTGTAAAAAGCTTTAAAAAGCCCCTAACAAAAGTATCAGCCAAGGGGGGGGGGGGAAACCTTCAGAGAAGCTGCTCTGGCTAGTTGGGGGGTACTGCCAAGAACCATTAACTGCTGTTACAATGTCACAAGGCTTAACCCAGAGGCAGTTTTGGGAAACACTTAAAAGATAAACAGGATTAGACTAGAAACAACACAGAAAGTCACAACAGCCTCCTTCCTGGCTTCCTGACAGGATTAACTCTGTAAAGTGGGGAAAACAAAAGGCTGTTGGAAGGAGATTTCTTCCAACAGCCGGTTCACCCAACTGCTCAGAGAGTTAACAAAACGGTTCTCTTGAACCGATGCGAACCGGCTGAATCCTACCACTGAAGTCATTGGTAGCCTCACGTGGCAATGAACAAGGACACACATTCCATTTTGCAGCTACTAAGAGTGTTGGACGAGCAGGCACAAAAACAGCCAGAGAATTGGTTGATGCCTGGGAAATGGGGCCCCTTGTCAGTCAATTGAGTGCTGATTTACCATAACTGTATCAGGTACTTAGGAGGCATCCGCTTGGCAGCACAAGGAAACAACAGCCAATGATTCTCAACAGTTGGCCATCAGCACACCAATCAACAACTAAAAAGCCCCACACAACCAGGCACCATATAAATACCATACGGAGAAGAACCCCACTGGAGAGAAGTTCCCAGTGGATAAGTTCAGGAAGCTTGGAAGACTAAACCTCTGGTCCCGGTAACCAACCCAGATTGGATCCTGCCATTCATTCACAGCCGTAATATTCCCAGGGATGTATCTTGAATTTATACATTGTTTTCCTTTTTTTAACTTGCATCACTGTGGAATACCCCTAGGACAAGGGTGCTGAGATCTGGCCCGTGTGGCTGGCCTGGCCCACGGTGCCTCTGCTAGCCAAAACAGGGGGTTGGAGGTTGCTCATCCAAATTTGGACTGAAGATGGCTGCAGCACCTACAGATGTTGGCTTGACACCATAAAACAAGACCTTGAGTGAGGAGATATTTCTTCCGCTCTCCATCATGGTCGGTTGTTAAGCAGACATGCACACACCTATACACTTACCAAATAGGGCATCAGGAATTTGGGCCCCGGGTTCAGGCCTTTCCTGGAAGGTGGCTTGTGGTTGATCAGTCTGGGGGTTGACTTCGGGTGTAGGAACCAGGAGTCCCTCTTGGGTGGAAATATATGAAACAGACAAAGAGAACAAACAGATAGGGAGTCAGGATAAGTGAGAATAATTCTCCTCCCGTCTGAAAAGGTTTTAAGACTCCTGGCCTAAAAGAGTCCCGTGCTTGGGGAAGTCCAAGCTAGATGGGGCTCCTCTAAGTCTCTGGCGTGACCCGACAAATGTGTGCAGGACAAAAACCGCGATGTCATCAATGCGATGTCATCAACGCAGTAACAACAGCGCGGCGACAGAAGTGTGATTTAAGTTAAGGTAAGGTTTAGGTTTAGAGCGCGCTTCTGTCGCCGCGCTGTTGTCACCACGCTTCAGAGCTCATTCGTCGGCGTGCTTTAGAACTCACGGTTTTGTCACCACGGTTTAGTCGGGCGCGCTTTTGTCGTTCGCCCTTTTGTCGGTGAACCAGTCTCTGGAATACTAGACAACCGATTCTAGAATTAATGACGCACCAATCATGGTTAAAAACGATACAGGTAGCCCTTGACTTACAACGGTTTGTTTCGTGACCTTTCAAAGTTACAACAGCAATCAATGAAGGAAGACAACAAAGCCCAAAAATAGTAGTTAGGGAGAATTAACACATATTTATGTATCCAAGTGGTTAAAATTTACTAGAGGTAATCAGCCAATATAGCAGACAGAGGAATAAGATAAGCGGGTTAAGA